GTGACTGTCATGAAGCCCAGCCCTGTTTTCAGGGTGACATATTTCCCACCCCTCCAGCTCCCTAACACATCTAGTGGCCATCTGTAGAAACTGACACATAGGACTGCTTGGAGTGCTGACCTCCTCACTGCTCAGTCAGTCTCCCAAACTCAGAGTCCCTTCTCATCTGCCGTCATTCCCACCTGACATGATGATACCGCTTCTCCTTTCTCAGTGATCTCTAACCAAGGAAGCTCATCTATTTTCCTGGCCTTGGTTATTGGGATGACTTCAGGTTTACCCATGTTCTCTCCCCTCTAACCATATAGCTAACCCTTTAGTGCCTCAGGAACTCAAATGCAACATACCTAAAACTGAACCCATCATGTATCCATCAGATATTTTCTCTGTTGTTTTTCATCTTTGTTTTTGTGGTCCTCTTTGTGTGTGTGTGATGCTATTATCCTCCCGCTGTCTGTCCTGAGAGAGACTGGTTGAGAATGCTAAGGCCTGAACCTCATTAGAACCACGGACACACTTTTGGCTTATATAGCGTTTGAAACCAACAAAGGCTGACGTTTGGCATTTTGGAATGTCCCTGAATGCTATTTATGAGCCCACCATGATGGGAAATCCCAAGAGTGCAACTTTACAGATCTACACATCTCAGCACCCCATCTCAAGTGTTTGCAGATAGAGATTTACTTAGGTTTGGAATAGCTTTAAAAATTCACATTAGAAAGATATATTTTTAAATCTGACTAACTCTTTTAACCACTGTAATGTAGCATTTGCTTCTGCTTGGGGTTGCAGACTGAGCAGAAGGGGTCTTTTGGCCTTCACACACTGATGGTAACTACTTTTCTTCTCTATGTTCCCTTCTGCTCAGTGACTGGGCTGCCAGAAACACTCTGGCTTCCAGTGTCAGAGAAGTGGAGTCTTCTATATCAAGCATTGGTCAAACTCTCCCTGAATGGAGATAGCCTAGTTATGCAACCTTTCCTAGTGAATTTAAAATGGAGAGCATTTTACTACCAGCCTCATGTAGTTGTTATGAAGATTAAATACATGCAAAAAATCTCAGAATAAGATTGAGGAAACAGTGACTCACTTCATAAATATTAGATATGATGATTACTATATCTAATAACAATGTTTTTATAAATATTACATTTTTATAAATAGGGACTCAGAGTAGTGACAACATGTTAAGGGGTATATTTGTTCTTATTTTCCACAATAACCCTGCAGGGATTCCAAATGAGGTTGGTGTTCAGTAAGAGAAGACAATATTCAACTTTCTTATTTTCATAATAATATTTGTTAAAAATAATGGTTCTCATAGATACTGTGTTCAGTAGTTTCTATGCTTTATCCTAAGGTTTCACCAAATACTCTATACAAAGGATGCATGGGTGAATATTGTTACTTTTAGGAGGAATTAATTTTAATGTGTATTAGTTCTTAAAAATGTAACTAGTACATCAAATTAATGACTTCTTGGCCATTGCTTAGGATGAAGCTTAAATTTAAAAAATACTGTAGGTTGGAACATTTTTTAAAAAAATAAGTTTATCTAGATCTGGCAAAACTTTTGTAGGAGAATAATTTTATGTTCATTTAGTCATGTGAGGCAGGCACCATTATTCTCCCCGTTTAACAGATGAAGAAATTGAGGTATAAAAAGGTCCGACATCTCTAAACTCTCTTTAACCAGTGGTAGGCCTGGGATTCAAACTAACAGTCTTTGCTCACTATTATCTGCCACCAGGGTGCTTTCTCACTTCCCTTCTCATGAAAGTTTTATTTTCCCCCCAAATTTTAATATTAACTTGTGTTTTCCTTTTTTATAAAATTAATCTGCATTTGTTACAAAAATTTTTAGAAAATACAAAGAAGAAGAATTTGTTTAATTAGGTAAAAACACTTAACACTTAATATGGGATCTGCCCTTTTAACAAAATTTTAAGCATAAGTAACAGCATTGTTACTACAGTCGTCTTCCCATATCCTAGGTCTCGCTTTCTGCATTTCAGGTGCCCACAGTACAGTACAATAAGTATTTTCAGAGAGATCACATTTACACAACTCTTATTACAGTATCTTGTTATAATTGTCCTATTTTAGTATTTGTTGTTAATCTCTTACTGTGTCTAATTTATGAATTAAACTTTATCAAAGCTCTCTCTATATAGGAAAAAACATAGTATATATAGGGTTTGATGCACTCTGTGGTTTCAGGCATCCACTGGGAGTCTTGGAACTTATCCCCTGCCGATAAGTGGTGACTACTGTATTGGCACAATGTTGTACAGAATGTCTCCTTTTATTTTTCTTATCACAGTCCTGTGAGGAAGACAGGCCAAACAATGAAACTGAGAGAGGTGGGCAAACTGGCTGGAGTCCCACAGAAAGTATAGGTGCACCAAACTCCTAACTCCCAGACCCTTTCCTCTAAAACATACTGCATTGCAGGATGAGCCCTGGCAAGATGCCCCTCCTTGGGGATAAAAAGTAATGTGCCCCTAGGGAACAAAAGTTCCACCTTAGTTCAATGTTGCCATCAGCTTCTTCCTACTGGGAAGTAGGCTCTGGAAGCAGTGGCCTGGACTCTTCCCAGAACAGCAGCAGCATTGGCTCTGAATCTACACTGGCCTCTTCTGAGCAAAGAGCTCAATAATTCTGTCTACACAAATACACACACATATGCATGAGTCAGCTGATTTAATTAAACCCCTTCTCAACTCAAATGGAGAGTTTGGACAAAGAACTGAGAGGCTACCAAATTACCAGTTTTTGACTGTATTGTTTTTCAATTGGTTGCTTTGGGATCTTTCTGGCTCACAGCTTCCTTCAGTAGTGAATTGGAGGCAAGGAGGTTAGGATGTTAATTGGGCCACATGGTAAATTACGCAAATGCCCAAGGGAAAACAGATGCCATATAAATTGAGGTTTGCAATTACTGTTGCAATGCAGTTTTTTAAAAAGCCATTTGTAGTGATCTGTGATTCTACAAAGTTATATTTTAGGACTCTATGGGTTCCAGAAACAGATCTTTCCCTGGCACTGCTTCACAGTCATGTGACTAGGATCCCAAGTATTTCCATTTTGGCATTATAAAACAGCAACCAAGAAGAGACCTTGTTAATTTTGACCCTGGGGCCACAACTGAGCTGAAGGGTTCAAGATCTCAGAACTTTTTCCATTTCAGCAAAAATTTGGTGGTCCCAGGTGCCTGCTAAGGATTATTTTCTTCCCCATTATTATTTCTGAAGATATTTCCAAGAAACTGGTAACATGAATAAAACACATTTCTTCTTAGAGCCTAGTGGTTTCAGAAAAGGATTTGATGAGGAACCCATACACCTGCTGGTGTATTTCAAAGGTGATATTATATGCTGTGAGTTATTGATTAGTAACTCTTATTCCGGTTACTCCTGAGGGCTGTTTCCAAACTGCAGAGTTTTCTGGGTAAATTATTCATGGCAAGGGTGTTGCCTGTAGTGATGTGTGTCAGTCACACCACTACACCTTGCCTTGGGCTGGAGGCACTGCCATTCGCCTCCCTCCAACTCTTTTGTCATCACATCAATTTCTGACTAGCCTCAGCCACTGACAGTGCTGTCAGTGAGCCTCAAAGGCAAAATAGGAGGCGTTATCCACCCTCCAGTCTACAGTCCACCAGGGGAGAAGCCAACTGAAAACACAAGAGGACCTAATCAGACCTTTGATGTTACACAAAGCAGATTGCATTTCAATCTTGAAATGCAATTCTAGAGAATAAGGAGTCACTTATTCTAGAGAATAAGGACTCACTCTAAATCTGATTAAGATTCATCTGGTACCAAATTGTGATAAGTGTTTATTTTGGACAAGCAGATCATCAGTGTTTTCTGATTCTGCTTATTCATCCAGAAAATCTTTTGTTTTCCACTTTTGTTAGAGAAGAAGTAGTAAGAGAAAGCCTTGGCTGGTCCTGACTTATCTGTTGAGAAAACTTGAGAAGGAGACTGGGCTGCTTCTTGAATAACTCTGTACAGAGTCCAGGGTGCAGAGCTCCTTCTTCTGGCTCCCTGACTCAGTTTCCTAATGATCTGATGCCCTGCTGCTGCGCCTCAGTCAGTCCCCTGCCCTTACTTCCATAGCAGAGGGGTACCTACCTTCTGGACTGACCGCAAGGCGGGGAACTAGCTTAAAAGGGGATTGGTTCTAGTGAGAATTCAGGGACAGAGATGGCTAGCTGGGGAGAGGATTTGGAGCAGGTTTTGTGTATGTTTTTTGTTTTTCCTGCAATAAAATGGTACATAAAGTTTTAGAGAAAAAAATAGAATTATTCCTGATTCTACCATGCTTTGCAGTTGCTACATAACCTTTGATCTTTTAGTGCATCTATTTGTACATATAAACGTGTGTGTTTATATAAAATGGGATGTTTTGTTTTAAAACTTGTGGTTCCCATTTAGCATATTCTGAACATCATTCCTTGTTGATAAGCAGAGTTCTCCATCATTTTTGATGACTGCTGAATAATTTTCTTTCTGGGGACTCCTCTCCCCTCTCTTCCTCTTGTTTTTCTTTTCTCTTTCTTCCTCCTACTCCATTCTCTCTCTTCCTTCACTGGTTGTTATTCCTTTTCTTCCTGATAATCTATAATCTTCTGCTCCAGCTCCATTTTATTGTTTTCATTTTATTGCTCTAACACTTTGTAATATACCCTCTGACTTATGCAAATAATGTGAAATAAAAAGAGGATTGTTTTGTAGTTTGGGATTGTATTGATTGTCTAACTCATACCAAACTTACTTGTTTTATTTGTTTTGTTAACAGCTTTGTAATATTTTCTGTCCAGGTTCTGTGACAATAAACATGACAATATTTTGAAAGCTTTTCATATCCCCAGAAGGAAGAAATGACAAAGAGGCAAGCCATTATAATGAATGCATATAATCTTTATTTAGGAACATGACAGTCTCAAGCCCTCTGTCATTTCTAAGTCTTGATGATTTGTCTCATTTGCCCAGACCCCTCACCAGTCCATAAAGATGGGCAGAATGAGGCCGACAGTGCACCAGAAGACCTCCAGTCTGTGGGGACCAGCAGGCTGCTCTATCACATCACCGACGGTGACAACCCACTGCTGTCACCACGATGCTCCATCTTCAGCCAAAGTCAGAGATTCAACTTAGACCCCGAGTCAGCCCCATCTCCACCCAGCACTCAGCAGTTTATGATGTAAGAAAACTGTTTTGTTATTGTCTTCGTTTCATACAGTTTTTCAAATATCACATTTATAAACTACAGTGAAGTATGACTGAAATAGCACAAATGTGCCTGCCTAACACAACTGCGTGACTGGAACAATAAATGACAAAAATCAGTGTACTTGCTAGTTGGGGATGCCATTGCAAGCCTTATACCTCAGGAAGAAATGGTCATGAGAGACAGGATAGCCCAGGGGCTCACATGTTTGAACATTTTTGGTGAAATGAACAGAATCTTAAATAAGTATATGTACATGCACATATCAGACATATCATTCTTGACGAACTCAATATTCTTTCCATGTCCAGTGGTAGCATCCATGGATGAGTTGTGAGAACACTTTGGAGATGTCCATCTACATTTCTTCTTAGATTCTAGAAAAGTGGTAGCTTACAATAGCTACCCTTGTCCAAATAATGTATGTGTGTGTGTGCATGTGTGTGTGTGTAATCAGATGCCTGCCCCCTACACATTCCACTTGGAATTTGCATTTGAGATTGAGGAACTGTGTGTTATTTATGTTTAAGTTCCACAAATAATTTTGATATACAGTTAAGATTAAGAATCCTCTGGCTAAAATTATGCCTGGAGAATCCCTGGTTTCTCCCTCAGAACTCATGCCATTTTTTCTTGATTTTATCTAACCCTGGGTCCATGAACTATCTATCGATGGACCTGAAAGAGTTAGTGAATTATTGATATTGCATGTAAAGTATGTGTTATGTGAGGGGGTGTATGCAATTTCTGGAGAAGGGGCACATCCTTTCATCATATTAAAAAAAGTCCTGTTATGTCAAGAAAAGTTAACCACTCATCTAAATCTTCCTTGAAAATGTTGGCAGGTGTGGCGTGTGCAACTTATTGAGGACAGGACCTCAACGGTGCGGTCTCTTTCGAGTCTTAAATTGGCCTCCTCTAAGCTTTACAAAATGCATTTCCTGGACTAATATTTTGACATTTTACACTAAAGTCCCAGGTAACGTCCACCCATAACAGAGTTTTGTGATAGGGAGTCTCCATTAATGAGCAGATGTTACCATGGTGGCCTCATCAAATAATGAACTTCCCTCTGGATTTCTCTGACAATCCAGGAATTTTGGCTTGTAGATCAACAGAACTGTTTACTGGAAGCCCACTGTTTTTGATACTCCTTCCTCCCTGTAATCACTGCAGGCCGCGGAGTTCTTCACGCTGCAGCTGTGGAGATGGCAAGGAGCCACAGACCATCACCCAGCTCACCAAGCACATCCAGAGCCTCAAGCGGAAAATTCGGAAATTTGAAGAAAAATTTGAACAAGAAAAGAAATACCGGGTAAGGACTCTGGGGTTTGACATAGGAGCGGACTGGTCAGAGGTGTGTGGATTCTCCTCAGCCTCTGTCCTTCCTTTCTGGGTACCCTTCTTTGCCAGGGGACAGTTGTGTTCCCATGGGCCAACCTGGACCTATCATAGAGTCTTCATCTTCTATCTATCTTGTTCTCACCTGCTGTCACTTGATCTCTGCTAGGATATTTTCTAGTCATGGATTACAACTATTATTTCCAATCTTATTTGATTATTGATCTTGCCTTTTTTTTCTGAGGAACAAAATTTGGAAGGCTTTTGAAATATAGTGTGGTTTTTTTTTTTTTTTTGTTTGTTTGTTTGTTTGTTTACTTTTTCTCAATTGCATTTTGATAAGAACTTATTAAAGACCCAAGGGAGGAATCTACAATTGTGGAACAGAATGAGGTAGAGATGGTTTCTTTGACATTAAAGTATTTCCTCGTTGGTGAATGAGGACCTCTCAAATGACATCTGTTCAGGCCACTCATAAGAACCAACCCTAAGCCATCCTTTCCCCATCAGAGAGACACTAGTTTTCATGCTAGTACTGCAGTGCAGCAAATATCAGCCTCCTTTCTTTTTATGTAAGAAACAATAGGGTTATAGGTAAGTGTCTTGATGGTCAGTGTTGCTTTTATTTTCTCCAGTGGTGACCATGGCATAGAGAAAATCATAACCACGGAGAATTGGACAAAGATATTGGGTCTTTGGCAGAGAGCCCAGAACAGCTTGTTATTAGAATAAAAGAGAACAGGGAATAATCTCTCATACATCTTGAAATATTTAAATGTTCACTAAACACTTGGTACAGAGGCCATTGGAAAGTTCTTGTGAGTATAGAGTAAGTTCTGGGGAGGGAGGTGAGAGTGGGTAATATTTCACTCTTCCATTCTTCCTGTCTTGTTTCCCACAGTGGCCTCAAATTCACTGAAGGAGGAGTTTTAAGGAGCAGATTTTAGCTTTGTAGAAATGGGGGGAAAATCAGATTGGCTTTCAAGGCAACCTTAGGATGTTGAAGATTATCTTCCCCAGAGTCAGGCAGTCACAGCTATTTATTGTCTTTTATAGAGCAGAAGGGAGCTCAACACATCATTAGTCCAGGATTTTATTTTACAGACAATGAAACTGACACCTGATGGAAATGACTTGCCTAAGATAGTTGTGTTCTATCAAGTCACAACTTGGGTCAGTGGATTACAGATGAGTAGGTTTTGCAATAGAATATAAGTAAAATTTTTAAGTGTCTGCATTTTAAAAGCTCCAGATATCCTGAGAGAAGCTGATTTCACCTGTTTGCTGCTGGGGTGTTATTGGATCTATGATATTCTCATATTGGAAAATACAGAGTAACAACCAGAGGCTCCATTCCCAGCACCCGTTAACACATCTTATCTGGCAGTTCTTGATTCAGACTATTTTGGATTTGAATCCAGCACAGCTACTTTTATAGGACTCTGTGATTTTGGACTTGTTATCTTTCTGAGTCACAGTTTGGCCATTTGTAAAATGGAGTATTAGGTAGTGACTTCTTAAGTTTGTAAGTAGTAAATAAGGAAGTACATACATAATGCTTATTACAGTGTTTGGTACAAAGGGAGTAAATGGTCCTAGATAACACTAACTTTTTAATCTATGAGTTACATATTTAAATAGGCTACTCCATGGCAGTCTCTGCCTTGTCAGAAAATAAAGGAAAACTGTACATGTTAATTTTCCACTGGAGTTTTCTATCCACAGTCACAGATCTTGGATGCTTATTTTGGAAGAGAATTCCACCTGGAAACATCTCCTGCCTTTATCTAGAGTTTTCTGAAGCTAGAGCACACATGCACATGCATGAACATGCACACACACACATACACACACAAACATATACTTAAATACACTTATGGAAGGACAGATCAGGGAGCAGTAGGGGAAGGAGGCTCCTTGGTCACCGCTGCTTCAGTGTGTATAAAAGTCTTTGTTATAATCAGAACCTCACATGTCTCAGGAAACCCCTTTCCTTCCTGTCAGGGCCAGGCTGTGCTTAGAGGTTTGACATGTCAATGGGCTTTAACCGTTGCTGTATGTAAGGCTCCCCTTCCTGGCAGTCTGACTGTGGAATTCATAGCACCCACTGCTAATTTTTGAATCTGGGCTCCTGCTGGGCCTCTGTGCTTTTCTAATACCCATGTATCACGTATATCTTTCCATCTCTGTTTACTGTAACCATTTTACACACCTACCCCAAATTCTCTACATCTCTACATCTGATTTTGCATTTGATTATTGGACTCTTGGGCTAAGAAAAGGCTGCGTCAGCCAGATGTCTACTTTCAGTGGAATCAGGGAATGTTAGAATTGGAAAGAATCAGTGAGTCTTTTGTCTTATCTGACAACTGAAGAAACTGAGGCCCAGAAAGGGGAAGTGAGTTTCCCAGAATCACACAGCAAAGAATAGTTCTAGCCAGAACAGCAACTGAGGTCTTTTTATAACCCTCCCAGTAATGTTTCTAATGTGTCTTTTTGAACCATCTTTGGCAGATCACAAATCTCATACAATGGCACTTAGGAGGTCAATTTTAATTGCATTGAACAAAACCTAAACCTATGTAATTTCTGGGTGTTATGGCCTTTTGAATCAGAATATTTCACTTAAGAAGTTAAGTCTTGAAGATCTACAGCTTGTATATGGGAACTTTTCATGTGATTTGAGAGCTGCTATCCATGTGAGCTTGATTTAACCCTTTTAACAGCTTCTTCAAGGGTAGGGAAGTAAATTCATTTCAGAAACTGATTTCAGGCTTTAAATTATTTTGTCCAAAATTTAGCCTTAAATTTCTCCTAAGTTCTATGCACCATAGTGAAAACTTATTTCTTTTGCAGTCACTGGCTTAAAGCCTTAGTATTTTTTTGTGTGTGTTTGTTTTTACCATATTTCAAAAGATAGAAATAACTGTGTGGAACAGATCCAGTGAAGCATTGTTCAACAAGATGTGTTCTCAGATCAGAGTGGAGAATTTTCTGAGGATTTTGAGAAATCAAATGTAAAACACTGGCTTTCCATGTAACCAGACTGCTACCCAAACCAAAGTACTAGACAATACAGTGCATCATTCTAGCAAACCACAGACAGGACTAGGCTGAGCAGTTTTAGAGAGGTGGGGATTGATGGCCACGTGTCACTGTCCATGGTCCTGAAACCAGCTTTTTTTTTTTTTTTCTCCCACCCCTTCCCCAACCCCCTGCCATCCCTCAGGGAAACCAGTTTCCTATTCAAGTTCTTCCAGGAAAGAATCATTGTCAATCTTCTTTTCTATTTTAATCTTAAAATGTATGGTTTTTAAATCACTCTAGAACTGACAGAATCATGCCTTGTGTTTTACAATGAGCATACCTAGACTCATGTACATGTGATGATCCTGTCACACAGTAGTTTTTTCCTTTGAGTTTGAAAAATCTCCTATCTTCCTATGCCTTCCTCTCACCAACATCCTGCCATTGTTACATGGATTTAGTGGATCCTTAAAGAAAAAATGACAGCCCCTAGATTTGGTCATTAACAATGCACATATTTCAGGCTATTATGTTTATGATCATGTCATCTTAAGCTTATTTTATAGTTCCTTGTAAATCCTTAATTTAAAGTAACCATTAATTTTCTTGAGCCTGCATGTAAGTTACTATGGTAGCCTTGACTTGTTTAAGAACAGTTTTTACTGATCTGTGGGGGTAGAGGGACAGTATGTTTGGCTACCACTAGTGAAGGTGTTAGAAATCTGCATATCCCCCTAACAGACTGACTTCTCAGGAATACTGTCAGGTTTTAGAGATTCTGGGGTCTCCTTTCTTTAGCTTAGAGGATATAACTGGTAAGAGCTAAATCTTCCAGTTTTTCAGTATTCTCCCACAGGTTATGGTCATAAGCATGTGTGTGAGCCACAAGCAAGGTAGTAAGTACTGGTTTGTATCAGTGCAATCATCTGCAGTGCTACAGAAAATGGCCTGGCAATGGGGTATATATGGGCTGTGGGTAACCTGCAAGGTGATTGACAGCTTGACGGCAGGGGCACTGGCACGGCCAGGACTATGAAAAATATTAAGTGACCAGGCACATTTAGAAATAATGCCCATAGCAATGATTAAAGAGTAGAGGAGGTCAAGAATATTTACTGTTTTCTAGAGGTAACTTCATCAGAAGCAACTCCATCAGAAATTTCACACCCGAATTTCTCTCCCAGCTTTATATATTCCTAAACTATCTTTGTATGGCTCAGGTGTTTACACATTTTGTTTTTCCTTTTCTTTTTCTTCCCCACCCTCTCCCTCCTTCCCTCCCTCCCACCCCCACTTTTCCTTCCCTTGGTAGCCTTCGCATGGTGACAAGACTTCTAATCCTGAAGTCCTGAAATGGATGAATGATTTGGCTAAAGGTCGTAAACAGCTCAAAGGTAAATGCCAGTCAAAGGTCTTTTTTTTCCTCATAAAGGAAGCAGTTAAACTAGTGATAATGTGCTCCAGAGAATTTTAGATTCATTTCTACCTGTGCCCTCTTGCACCTTGTTTCCTGCTTAGACTGTAGCTCCCTTTTGAAATAAAGCATCCTGTATCTCTGTCATTGTTTGGCCCCATGTAATAAACCTCCTTACAAAGAAACTGAGGACCTCCAGACTCCCAAGTGGAATGATTCACTTCAATGCCAGGAACATTTTAACATGTGGAGCACTAACCTCCCTAGGTTATGGGATTGTTGGATGTTAGAAACAGAAGAGGTCTGAGAAATCATTTACTCCACACACTTCAGTGCATGGATGAGGACATTTATGCTCATAGAGAGGGGAGGGTAACAGAGCTGGAAGGTGGTGGGCCAGGTGTAGAATGTGGTTCTCCTGCCGTATGGGCTAGTGTCCTTTTTCTGTCTTTCTCTGGAGATGGTGGTGAGAGTATTAACTCTAAAATCCATTTAAAAGAGACTTGTTATTTACCAATAAAAAATTATTTTCTTCCTCTCTCCACACTCTAACTTTAATACTTAGAGACATGGGAGTTTTTCCAAATTTCTGGAAGGAGAGTGACTAAAAAGAACTAGAAGGGAATATTAATTCAGTGGTATTAAACTGTAAATTTGTGGCAAGTTTATACAATATGTAATGTTTAAACATCAAGACAAAGTCTAACTAGGAAACAAACATCAAACAAAGAAAATGAGCTATGTAATTGAGAAATAAATATAAATGCCTCATTCAAACAACCAGTACCCTTGCATACTCTAAAATGTAATTCCTTGATAAGTCTCAGGGGGCTTTTTTTATTTTAAATTATCTAGGTTTATATAAAGCCATATTGTAATAATTCCTGAATCTTAAAAGCTACCATAAGAAAAAATAGCAAAATCTGTCAAGTTGGGGCTGACATTCCCATCTACCCTTTCCCACTCCCTCCTGTATTTCCTTGGGTGTCTACATGTATAATGTCTTGCAGAATTACTTGCATTTCCACAGGGGCTCTTGATGAACCCACAACTTCAAAATATAAGTACATAAATCTTTGGGTGTGGAATTTCAGGTGCTACAGTACATGGCAGGTGGGGCCAGGTGCCACTGGTTTTCCTGCAAACTCTTCCTCCTCTGAAATCTAAACCACTGTGCTACTGCCATACATATCCTCCACCTCCATGAGATCCTAGCCTCTAGAGCCCTGTTTTCACACCTGATTGGGAGCCTATGCTAGTGGCTCTGCTTATAAGGGTTGCCATTGCCCTATGGAAAGCCATCATTAGTGTTCATTTCTACAGATTTGGCATCAGGGGAAGGAATTCCTGAAAGGCTCTCTGTTCTTATTAGGGCTAGTGGGTTCTCTTTGCTTATGGTAACTTACAGCTTTTCTCTTAGAACTAAAGCTAAAGCTGTCAGAAGAACAAGGGAGTGCTCCTAAAGGTCAACCTAGAAACCTGTCCTGTGAGCAACCCACAGTCCCCAGAGAAAATGGGAAGCCGGAAGCTGCGGGCCTGGAGCCAAGCTCCTCTGGAGAAGAGACTCCAGATGCTGTTTTGACATGCCTGAAGGAGAAAAGAGAGCAACTTCCTCCCCAGGAGGATTCTAAGGTACATCACCATGTCTTGTTATATAGAGGGCCCCTATAGTTCACACAGTGCTGGTGAGATCATCCAATTTATCAGAGCACTTTGTCATTACATAGACATTTTTATTAGCCTGGCTCCAGAATTTCAGATGAGTTCCTGATAGGTTACTGGCCATGAGCAGTAGTGCCACATGATGCCAGGCTAAGCCACCATTCTGGAGGTTATAGTGTTGTGTATTGATAGGAAGTAAATGGCAAGGACACCAGGGTATATCATATCCCTTTCTCTCCAACTCTCCGCACCCCAAAATTAGCAAATGAACCCAAGACTAAGAAATAAGCATATTGCCTGAAAGGAAAGGACTCCAGTTACAGCCCCTTTCTTCATGTCTTGTTAAAAATAATAAAGCAGGGATGATCTATAAATAGTAAGAAAAATTGTTTGGTGTTTATATAATAAGAATAGAGAGGTAGGGTTTCTTAGGAGTGTTAAGTTGAAATGCAAGTCTTCAGCTTTGGATATCTTAGTTTTGAAGTCTCTGTGAGGCATCTAGATAGAGTTGTCAGGCATTTGAATATATGAGCGTGGAGTTCAAAGAAAAGATTTATTATATTTTACAAAGAAGAAAAGACTGATTAGTATTTACCTGGTTAATCTCTCCTTGTCGTGCATATCTATGCTTCCATTTCAATTATGCCAGGGAAGCTTTCTTGTAGTCCCCTGTCTCAACTCTAAGACTGGTGTGATTGACTTTCAGTTCTCGAATAAGAGATGTAACTACCCTATCACAGCTCTATCTTGTAGGCCATTTACTGTTTCTTGTACTACACCTTGAACTTCTTACATGGAAGTACTATTTATAGGTCATGACCCCTCCTTTTCTGTACATAGTAGGTATTGAATAAATGTTTGCTGAGTGAATGGAAAAATGAGCAGATGAATGAACAAACTAGCATATTTAATTTTCAAATGAAGTCTTCTTGAGGAGAATGCTGCCTTTCCCTGTTCTATTGTGTATTACCTGGTATTAATCATAAAGTGACAACATATTCCAAATCTCAAAAGGCTCAAAATATGCCCCTGGATTAGTCATTTACATAAGGACTTGTGATCTACAAGTAGAAATGGACCTGTGACCACATCTTTCTTTATGAAATACCTTTAGTCTTAAAACAACAACAACAAATACATGTTGTGAGGAGTGAAGAGAAGGTTTTCATCCACTCAGCCATCCTATCCCTGAGCCCACCAAGATTCTACTTCTGTGATAGTTAGTGGGTAACTTTTGCATATATATACAGAAACTCTCAGGTACATCTGTGGTTTTCCATCCTTCAGTGCTTCTGAAGGTCTTTCCAGTATTTTAAAGTCACTTTGACCGTATCTATTAAAGCATCTTGGTCAATGTCTAAATCTATGTTCTACTCAATTAACAAGGGTAGTAAGAGGAGAGATGGGATTGATATAGTAGACTTAGAACAGGACTCAGCACTTGAACCAGCCACTTTCTAACCATGGGCATTTGGCAAGTGAACTGATTCTCCGAGATTCAATTTCCTCATCTGTAAAATACAGGTAATACCTACTTATATAATTATCGTGACAATAAGTGAGAAACCTACTGACTGGTGGACAATAGTTCATTTGAAAAAGATGTAAATGCCAATTATGTGTTGTGAAGTAGAATAGATGCTAGATATAAAAAATAAAAAATATATAGAAGTCATGGGGGGTCAATGCCCTCATGTAGTTCATGTTGTCCTGGGAGTGGGGATACAAGATATAAACAACTCAATAAAAAGAAATCATTAAAAATGTTGATAAGTACTATGCAGGATATTTAACAGGTGATATGATAGAAAATAATGGGTATAGTTTCTACTTTAGATAAAGCGATTAGGAAGGCCAAGAGGTGACATTTAAAGAAGAATCAGCAGGTCAAAGGGAGCAGCAGAAAACATTCTCAACAGATGGAATTGCAGGTATGAAGGCCGTGATGAAAGGAAGACCTTGTTGTTCACTTTGAATTCTCGGGGTTGAGGGTTGGAGAACAGGATGGCATGATATCAAGTCAGAAAGACAGATTAGAACCCATCACACAGAACCTTTAAAACTGTGGGAAGTATTGGGAAGTTGTTGAATGGTTGAGAGCAGAAAAGTGACATGACATGATTACATTTAATAGATCTGTCTGCTTGCTAAGTGGAGGATATATCACAGGGAAAAGAATGAAAAGGGTAGATGGAATGGGTGGCTTGGATTAGCATGGTGGCCTTGGAGAGGGAAAGAAGTGGACACAATCAAAGTATATTTTGAAAGTAGAATCAAAAGGACATGTTGAAGCATTAGATGGGAGGAAATGAAGGCAAAGAAGAATCTGGGATGATGCATGCTTAGTAAGTACAAAACACTGTGAAACCTCTAAGTCTACAAGTGCTCATCCTCAGATAGAGGACAGGAAAGCAGATTGCCTGAGGAAGGTTAGTAGTGGAATTATGTGCCAGGAGCTGTTTTCTACTCACAGAAAAGCATTTACTGATACAGAGAAAACTAGAAGAGCACACTGGGGTTGTAGATAAAAATATAACATAAATGATTAGTTTGGGATATTTTACATTTAATATCTTTCAGGAATAGGGTGACCAATCGTCCCAGTTTGCCCAAGACTTTTTTGCTTTTAGCACTGAAAATCCCATGTCCTGGGAAATGCCTCAGTCCTGGACAAACTGGGATGGTTGGTCATCTTACTGAGACATGTAAATCAAATAGACATACGCAAATGAGAGTCAGAAGATCAGAGAAAAATCTCCTCATGCATGGATGTCACCTAGTATAAATGCCAATCATTTCTATTATTTTTAATGACCTATTGATTTAATAAGTGTCAGAAGCCCGCTCAAATATAACTATAATATAGCTCTTCAGTAGGCTAAAGTTAGGCCCTTTAAACAGAGAGCATCTGTAATAGAAAATGTAAATACATAAAGCTGAGTATTGGTACTGAGAAAGCTTAATATAGTAAACCATGTAGTAGCTAGTCAGTCACTATACTCAGTGTGAATCCAGAGGCTACAGCATAACCAAAGAGAAAACTTTGTATTCCCATACAGCTAGTGTTATTTCTAACTCCTCAATGAGCTCAGTAGCATTTCAGATCATCTCATTAGGTCCCGTTTCTTTAAACTCAAAGAGACATATGACTTTCATCTGAGGTCCTTGCCTTATTGCTGAAAATGCATTAAATATTAAAATTTCAAGATAAAGAATGACATCTTTTCTAGAGAGACTTTATTATGACTCTTTCCATAATTTCTGCATTTGGCATTTAGTCACAGACCATACTAAGGCTGATAAATCCTATAGCATTGCCTTGTTGGTTCAGATACTGCCAGTGAGTAATTTTCTTCCTGTTTTATCTGTGGATGATTTTTAGAGATAATCACTTCTGGGTTACAGGACATGGCTGTACACTGGAAATGAATGAGTCATCCCTTGAGCTGAACTGTAGTGCCTATTTATGTCTTTTATGTCCTTTTCCTTTGGAAATACTGAACTGGTGCTGGCATATATATCAATATTGACCTTTCTAAGAACTGTAGGTGGTGTCAGGTGCACAGCTCAAATTACCAAGGGGATGAGTAATGACAGTTACTTCTTCTGGCCTCTCATCAACTGTAGCATCTCTGAGGATGAAAGCAGATTTCTAGAAAGTATACATTTTATCTTGAAAAAATCAATACAAAATTAATAACTTATTAGCAGGTTGTTGTTAGTTGGAAAGACAGTAGACTTAAAGGGCATGAAAAGGAAGATCCCATCAAACTTTCTGCTTTCCTATTTATCCTTCTTTTTTTAAAAAATAATTTATTGAATAGGTAATACTTTCTCACATAGTTCAAAAAGAAAATATATAACAGAAAATGGTAAAAAGACTACTTCCAAAACCAACTGCCATCTCCAGCTCCGAGATCTCCCACCCCCAGCAGGTAACTATTGTTATTAATGTCTTATGTGTCTTTTTTGGAGTTTCTATGTAAAACATATACAAGAAATTATCAATATACATTCCTTTTTTTTTTTTTTTTTTTTTTTTATAGAGACAGAGTGTCACTTTATCATTCAGGCTGGAGTACAGTGGCACAACCATAGCTCACTGCAGCCATAAACTCCAGAGCTCAAGTGATCTTCCCACCTTGGCCTCTCATGTAGCTGGGACTACAGGTGTGCAACACCATGCCTGGTTGATTATTTTAATTTTTTGTAGAGATGAGCTCTCACTTTTGCCCAGGCTGGTCTAAAATTCTTGGCCTTAAGGCATGCTCCCACCTCAGCCTCCCAAAGTGCTGGGATTACAGAAGTGAGCTACCATGCCTGGCCCCAATATATATCTTAACTTGCCTCTGTTAGACAAAAGGGAGCAGTCCATACAATTATGCATCCTTTTTACTTTGTATATTCTGGATAGCTTTTTATATCAAGACATAGCTTATCATTCTCTTTTATTTTTTAAAAAAATATTCAATAGCACTGTGATATTCTTTTTTATTAATGGATAGCATTGACATTAATATCAAGTCAACTAGTTTGATAGCTCAAATAACATTTGGTATATGTGTTATTAATCCAGAAACATTTACATATAAAACTTATTAAAAGTGATCATCATTATGCATATGAGGAAACTGAGGTTCAAATATTACATCTTTGTAATGTTAAAAACAGTTTATAAGTTTTGAAGCTGGTTATCTGAACTCATGTCCTCTGGTTTCAAGACAAATATTAACCTTCAATTCCCGGCTTGGACATCTAAATTGACCAAAACATTATCTTTAGCAATTGCTTTCTATGATAATATCCAGTACTGACTTTCCATCTTGTTTGACTGTTTAATTTAAACAGTCAGACTTGCTTACATATAGTGCCTCCCTCAATAAGGCGATGGGGATACTTAGACAGGAAAATCTTGGCAGGACTTGAGTCCCTAAAGCTAAGAAGCATGATTTCTATTGCTCACTGTCCAGAGAAGAGAATGTCAGTTTTATTTCTCTCCTTAAGAGAGATCTCATTTATGGGGATAATTGTAATGACTTAATTTATAAATTTCTGTGGCTTACTGTGCAGGAATACATGGCACCAGTCCCATGGGGGAAAGGAAAACAAGGTGGTAGAAGTGCTGAAGCTATGGCAGCTTTTTCCTAAACAACTTTCTGACCAGGACCCAGAAACAAACTAATTTGGACTGACCCTCAGTAGCAGTTATGTCTCTTGGAAAGCCAGTTTATTTCCAGACCTTGATGATTCAAATAATCACTGATAGGGGGCCAGGAGTTTTCATATGGCAAAGTTGCCAAGCTATAAACAAATCATATCAAATTTTGTCCTATATATGGTCCTGTCTTGTTCAACCTCCTCTTAGTTTTACCCCTGATACTATAAAAAATGGAGAAACTGGAAGAATAATCATCTTTTAAAGTTTATCTCCTTTTATTTATCTTTAAATTATGACAATACATTCATAGCTCTCTTTGGCTGTTTTAGGTTATTCAACATGTAACCGAAAACATAAAGGAAACCTTGTTTCCTTCATTCACATAACAAAAATGAAAAAAATAGATATATCTTGCATACCACAGCCAGCAGCAACTATAGAATTAGGGAGGAAGGATGCACTTCAGAAAGAGACAGCCATTGAATTCAGAGGAGAAAATTAGATCTGATTCTTAGCAGAAAGTGGCTGAAGAATAACAGCAAAGTCTAATGTATTTCTGCCCCCTTAGATTTGGGGTATCCTGCAGAGCTTACCTTGATTCAGTTTCCTTTATGAAGATCACTTTGCAGGCCTATAGCTTTTCCGTGAGTAGAAAACAGCTCCTGGCACATAATCCCACTACTAACCTTCCTCAGGCAATCTGCTTTCCTGTCCTCTATCTGAGGATAAGCACTTGTAGACTTAGAGGTTTCACAGTGTTTTGTACTTACTATGCATGAGGGTATGGAACCCTCACATTTCCTCAGGGATTGCTTTGATAATAATCTTAAGAGGAAGACAATGGAATCAAAGTGAAAAAGTAGTGCATACATTGTATGTGTTCCCAAATTTTTATCCAGCATCTATGGAAGATACTTTTCTATAATGGCATTCATCATTCTATCATGTGTTTTGGTTACTTTTTTCTTTTAGAATTAAATTTAGCTTTTCTAGAATCTGGGGAATATATTAAATCACAAAAATCAAATTGCAATGGAGAGATTCCAATACTACTTAAATGCATCATTTTCTGAAATACTTTCTATGGATTGTAAGTCCCAGTAAGATATTACATTAAAAAACCACTATTTCCATGTTTTCTGAACTCAGACTGAGATTTTTTTCTTCTGTCATCTATTAAAATCCCATGAAATAGATTTTGATGGGAACCTGTTGGGTTTTTTTTTTTTCATGGAAAGATGTATTATGAATAAAAGTGTTTAAAAAATGATTGGGTTAGAAAATGAAAAGATCTTGAGGTTATTTAAGCAATACTTAACAGGCTTCTATAGAGGGAAGCGAGAGTTAGGTCACAGCGTATGGGACTTAAAAGAAGATTGCTAAAAATTAGAGTCCTTTTTTCATATAAACCTGTGTTGATAGCTTAGTAGTAGGAATGGGAAGGTGTTGGGTACTGTGAGAATTTAAAGAAGTATGTGATACGATCTCTCTCCTCAAGAATCATTTATTTGGGCAGACAATACTGAAACAAAGAAAACAGTTAAGACTCAGATAATGAGATAAGAAGTTGAGAGAAAAGGTAGATCAATACGGGCCAGAATGGTTTGCAATTGGGATGGGAGTTGTGAGCATGAGGATAACTGGGAAGTGTAACACATGTTTGAGACATTTTCTTTTCTTTCAAGGGAGACCGATCTGCATGGCAGATCTATCTGGCATGTGTGGGTGTGTGTACTTTGATAAAAGATGCCTGGGTGATTATTCCATGAGTTATTTCTACTATTCCCTTCCAACTACTTGCCAAGTGTATATCACTGGACTAGAGTAGGAAGCTATGTTTACTAGACATGCAGAAAATTAATGCAGAATAAAAAGCAGGAAAAAAACCAATACAAGCAAAGGAGTTTGGTCACTTTGGATAAATAGGCAGATACATAGACAGATAGATAGATAGATAGGAAGCTATTTAAATTTTTATGCACAATGTGATCCACTGAAAATAGTGATTAGGGATGGGTCTTACAGCAGAGGGGTATAGAATTTATTAGTGGATCAAGAGGTTATACATCTTTTTAATGGAAGGATATTGGTAACTCCAACCTCCTTCTTGTATAGGTAGGAACTTGAGGACTCAGAGAAGTTAAATGTTTTGTCCAAAATAATTTCATTTATATCACAACCAGTCATAACCTAGTATATAATACAAGCATGTAGTGATGAAGACCTGTACAACGTTGGTGTTTGTGACTACATATAATCGGGAAAGTCTAGATAAAATATATGTTTCAGAAGAAAAATCAATGTCTGGACTGGTTTTTTAAGAATGAAAAAGTCATTAAGGAAGAGGTTCCCTAACACTTATGCATTTCAGACTCCTCCAAAAATCACATTCCTAAACTTGGACATATGCTTTAAGAAACTTTTCCAAGAAAAAACTGGCATGTGCTACATACAGTATCTTGTAAATGACTTTATGGCTAGGCACAGTGGCTCACACCTATAATTGGAGGCCGAGGCAGGCCGATCACTTGAGGTCAGGAGTTTGAGACCAACCTGGCCAACATGGTGAAACCCTGTATCTACTAAAAATACAAAATAATTAGCCAGGCATGGTGGTGCGTGCCTGTAGTCCCAGTTACTTGGGTGGCTGAGGCAAGAGAATTGCTTGGAGGTCACAGTGAGCCGGGATCATGCCATTGCACTCTGCCTGGGTGATAGAGTGAGACTCTGTCTCTAAATAAATAAATAAATAAATAAATAAATGACTTTCCTTTTCATGATAACTGTTGCATTATAGTATTATAATCCTTTACTTTGAGGCTTTTTGTCTGCTAAAAAATATTGATGTTTTCATTCTTGTCTGAGAGAAGAATAATAATTTCATGTTTCTCAGGTAACTAAGCAAGACAAGAACCTCATAAAGCCGCTTTATGACCGATACAGAATTATCAAGCAAATCTTGTCAACGCCTTCCCTTATTCCAACAATTGTAAGTCAGGATACTTGCATGCTGTTACTTTGTACTGATGTGTAGTTAACATGATGTCACATAGTAGTACTAGAGTTATAAAAGACCCTTCATGGCAGTATATACTGCTAACAAGGCCAGGTGTCATTTCAAAAAGTGAAAATTTGGTCTTCTCTAACCCCATTACTATACTTAACAGTGGCTGATATTAGAACTATTGTAAAATAGGAACATACAGTACTTGTATGTCTAGAGCCAATTTTAACATTTGCTTTCATTAGCTTGGGTGAAAAGAAATTCATAGATTTCAGTTTGGCATTTTCTAATTTGTAACACAGCTAGACAAAACAGAGCCTTTCTGTTCTGTGTGTTGGTTAATTTTTTCCTTTAATCAGAAAATTAACAATATATTCTTGATATAATGCAACATTTGTTTTTGGTACCATTTGGCCGTACTATACAAGATATGAAAAGATTTATTTCAATAGAAAATATAAGTACTGAAATTGAGTTAGACTACTTTTAGTAAAGAATGATTTATGGGAATACAGAACTAGAAAAGCATCACAAATCCTACTCCATCAATATCAAAACAGTTACTTGTTCAAGATATCAATATAAAAAAGAATAAATATTAACAAATATAAATTTAAGTATGCTTGAGTACATTATACTTCCACATTTTTTGAGATGGATTATACTTCCATATTTTTAAAGACATTAAGAGAATAATTATTCAGTCTTTGGAATTTTCCCATTATGGAAGCATAATTTAAAATGTAGTAGAGTTCTTATATTTCTTGCAAGAGAATCTTCTAGTTGTGATAAGAATTATCAGAACAGGTTGAGGAGTAACCCCACTTTGCTTTGGCTTTCCAATAGCTCTCCCCTGAACTTGTCAATTTTCTGGGTATCCTCTGTATCTGAATGTTGGTCCTCACTGGGACCTGACTTGGGGTATTTCTGGAGGATAAAAGTTGTCTGTAGTCCACCTCATCTTAACTCATGTCACAAGTATTAAGCTGGAGCCCAGAAGGCCTGAGTGAAAGGGAGGAACCACTTGATAATATAGTCCAGACTGGACCATATCCTAATGCTCTGTGCCTTCATTGGCCCAGAAGACACAGATGAACTTGGTGAGTTAAGTTTTAGCCCAGCATGGCTGCTGCCTTTTTGCTCATTAACTTCTGCAGGTTTTTAATGAAACTGAGGAAGAACTCTTCTTGGTTGCTTCCATCCCAGTTCTCAGTAGGCATTTGGGTCACCTACTGGTTTTCATGACATTGATTTATGGTTCCCCTTCTCGTATTTTTTGTTTGTTTGTTTCCTCAAGAGGCACTGAGCATTACGTGACTTACTTTCTTTAACTCTGCCTGTGATAAGCAGGAGGAAGAGGACTCTGATGAAGACCATCCACAGGGAAGCCAACAACCTTCTTTGCCAGATCCAGCATCTCACCTTCCTGTTGGTGACCACCTCACCTACTCTAATGAGACTGAGCCTGTTAGGGCCCTTCTACCAGATGAAAAGAAAGAAGTAAAACCACCAGCTCTCTCCATGTCTAATTTACATGAGGCTACCATGTGAGTATGAATCCTAAGTGTAGAGTCTCCTCTTAACTCCTTCTGATCTGATACCAGCATATGAAGCAGAGCTGGCCTTTGAAAATGCTGGATTCAAAGGGGTGGGTCAACAGTTCTCAGGGCCTTTATCCTAGACTCTTACATTTAGATGAGATAGTTTTTCCACTAGAAATCCACTTGGTAGTAAGCAAATGACTTGCCCTTTGTCTCTTAAATGGCCCTTCAGATAGAAGCCATTTGGATTTTCATTAATATCATCATTATTATTATCATTATTCAGTAGCTGGCATTCCTCATGATAATCTGGCCTTCTTTGGTTTGTATCTTACAGCCCAGATTATGAGATTTAGTTTAGTTTAATTTAATTTGACAGAAGTGTCTATCAGAGAAAGCAAGCAGAAAACCCTTTTTTTGGTGGTGATTCTAAAGGAGTTATTCCTAACTTTTCAAGGGGTGTTGGACTTTTTTGAAACCAACAGAATTGTTTTAAGAGAAAGCCCATATATAATTTCAAGTTCACAGAATCTCTGAAACCATACATGAGTTTGGTCTGCTTGTGTATACCACATTCCTGCTCTAGCGTGTATGACTTTTCTCTCATCTTGGTAGAATGAAGTGAGTAGAATTCACAATGTAACTATAGCTTTCTTCTAGGTCTTATTTTCATTCACAGGGGTTATGCCATTCTCCTAATATTCCGACACTTATTTCTCTAGATTAAGAATAGAATTTTCTTTAAAAGCTGTTCCTCTGTATCTCTTCAGTCTATCACCAAATGCTGATGAGTATTCCTTCAAAATATCCCTTCCCTCATCCATCTATATTGCTGTTACCCTTTCCAGTTCTTTCAGTGGATTCAATCAATCTGCTTGCCTCTTGTCTGTCCTTTCCCATATCTTGTGATATTTTTTCCATCAGGTAATTTTCCCTGCTTATGTGCTTGCCTATGGTCAGGCTCTATGTGTGTCATATTTACCCAAAAGACACTCTTATGCTCAGAACACTTTTCAATCGTAGTATGCTTTTTTGGCTGAACAGATAAATCTGCTCACGATGATCTCTCAATTATGCCAGTGCCCAGTAATGACAAATATTCTACCTTATATAGGCCTGTACTTCTTGACCATCTCCGAGAAACTAGGGCTGACAAGAAGAGACTGCGGAAAGCCTTAAGAGAATTTGAAGAACAGTTTTTTAAACAAACAGGAAGGTACGTGTGGGCAGAGAGATTTTTAAAGCTAATACTTCCTAGAGAATTACTGTTAAAAATGACCTGCAATTTTTTGCAGGAACGGTGACTTTTTACAAAATGTGTATCATTTTCACACTGGCTTAGACTCAGGATTTGTCCAATGCAACATTCTAATATTGCCAATATTAGGGATGTTTTATGGGACATGGTAGCTGTCAGGTATGACATCAATCTGTAAAAAATAAAAGTTAAACTCTAAAAATCTCTAACTTTGCACAATAAATCTCAACATAAATACATGAATTGTGTGGTCTATTCACCTTAGTCCCTGGCAGGTTTTCCATTTTAGCCTACCAGGATATTCTTTGGGACTGGACCTACTGAGTGAAAAGCTTTTTGCATTCAGCCAACAGAGATGTATCAACTTATTTTCTAGTTGGAATCTTCCTTTCAAGTTGATTGCAAAAGTCCAACTTACCTTTATGGTGATGTTAACTAATCTAGTGAGAAATGTTATGTGGCTCATAAATTTAGAACATAAAGCATTTGTTGTTATTTTTCCTTTTCCATCCTTTTTTCTTTTATAAAATGTTCATGTAACATTCCTTGTAAAACATTCCTTGGAGTAGTAACTTTGTCTGGACTGTCTGCTATTATTATACCTTGGATAAATATGTGACTTGCACTATAAAGTTCCTGATCTCTGCCTCTTTTGGATTAAAGGTATTCTATGGGAATTTTTCATTCAGGGAAATATTTGTGGAGATGTTATCAAATATTCTAAATCTAAACAGTCATTACATATGAGAAATGACACTTTAAGATGTGCATACATTCATTTCATAAATTTGAGTTCCCTGAATAAATTTATATTTTTAGCAATTTGAACCCAGGAATCTATCTTAAGGGGTTTGAGAACTTCCCAGTGTGCTACTAGTTCTGCCTAGTGGATCTGCAGTGCCACTTGGTATGCTTTTGTCATACAGGGAAGTTAGTTATGGTGTTAGGTATGGTGTTCTACTGCACCTATGAGTCTTAAACCCACTTCAGATAAGCCTATATATGGCTATGAAGTTGTATGCCCCCTTGTGGTGATATATTTCAACCAAATGCACAAGTGATGATCTTTTACAACTAAAATCAAACAGTTGAGTGGCTAGGAAATATGGACCTTAATTTTGTTTATCTAAGACATTTTATTGGGAAGGCCTAAGTATCAGTAAGGTAAAATAACCATGCAAATGGATTACTAAAATGTTTAAGGCACTATAAATATTCTTGGCAATATTTGCCATACAAGAGGCATGAGAATCATATAGATATTACATTATTATTAATGATTATGAGCTTGGAACTGTGCTAAGCACTTTAGTATGTTTTATATAATGGGGAAACTGCTTCAGGAAAGACTTGGCAAAACTTTCCATCCTTGTCAAAGCACTCTTATTAGCCAAAATGGAATATGCAAAACTAGGCAAAATTACATAATGGATTATTAATGTTTCTCTGTAATAATTAGACAATTTCTTTACTTAGATCTATTTATACAAATTAAGGTGATATTCAGACATCCAGTTATGATAAGTTTGACTCATAACACAGAATGAAGACAAAGGATTTATGTTATATACTTTAGACAATAGTCAAGAAGAATGCTGTCTATGGATTTGTATACTGTTTTGAGTTCTGTACTAGAAATTGCAGGGCAATAAATAGTGTTGAAATACAAGTAGATACTATATTCTTAATCTGTATAGATTAGCTTGTTTTTTATTTGGTAAGAGATAGAAATATCTCTTTATCATTACTGGGAAAAATAGAAGGGAGCTAAAGATAAAACATTAAATATATGCTATTTACCTGGTTTCAGCCATACTAATGTTAGAGAATATTTGTGGTTATATTCAGTTGTAATTGTGGTGACTATATCTGTGTCCTCTACCCCTTGAATTTCAAAGTCCTGGGTGGAAATGTTTTCAAAGCAATTGGCTATCTTATTAACCAAGAAAACAAGAGTCTTCTGAGACCCTGTCACAATTATTCCCTTTAGAAAACGTATCTTGACAACATATTTTTGTGGGAAGGCAAATGGTTTTAACTCCTGATATTACCAAGTTATTCTTCCAAGTAAACAGCAAGAGTATATGTACGCATACGTATAAAAATCTATGCATTGTTACATGTCTAGCTTTAGTAGAATTAGTGTACAGAAGAGAACCACCACGATTTAGACTCTCATGAATTACTTCAATCAAGGACCAGCTCAGTGGTTCTACTACATATTAGCAGAGATAGGTATTACAATTACAAGACAATCTGGAAACGTTTCAAGTTTGTAAGACAGACCCTGAATGCTTTTCTTGTTACCATAAGTTTATAAATGATTTTTATAATGAAATTTCTGTATTTTCAGGTTAAAATTTTTGACAACTCTATTAAGGCTGAACATTTTGTACAGGTGTAGGGCTGTGGCAGATAACGGAAGAATGACAGGACAAAGAATGCCTTGAAAGTTCTATTTCTTGTTTGTTTGTTTCTCCTTAGATCTTTTCACTTACTCCATTGTTGTAAGTCTAAGCACTAGCCACATATTTGCAAAACACTTATGACATTCAAGTTTTCAAAGGTTACTGTTATTTAGAAGTTTAGTAACACATGGAAGAAGGAGTGAATGAAGGTGAAAGGGAAGGAAAAGAAGACATGATGCAAAAACCAAGTGGAAGCTGTCACAGTATACTTTCTCATGTATGAATTATAAAAGAATATTTAATAATGACTTGATTCATTGTGAACTAATAAATGTATTTTTGTTTTGCAGAAGTCCACAAAAGGAAGATAGGATACCAATGGCAGATGAGTATTACGAATATAAGCACATAAAAGCCAAACTGAGACTATTAGAGGTCCTCATCAGCAAGCAAGATGTGGCCAAAACTATTTGAGGTTCGGGAAATGTTATGATCACTTTCACCCATGATATAAAGTAAAGTTTATTTTCCTCTGCCATCCTTGCTAAGTAGTTTTGACACAATGAAAATGGAAGCACTTTAGTGGTAGTATTAGCTGTTTTCAAGAAGGAATAGCAAGTTTAATTATATACAAGGAGAAGGGATTTAAATGGGGGGAAGGATACAACAGGTAGCCTTATAATTGGGAAAAAATTCAGTGTCCTCCATGCCAAGCAGAAAACTCATAGTCAATACAAGTATTTTAAAAAATGTCTAATATTTTATCAAATCTAAATAACATAGCTAGGATGCTTGTTAGGGAAAGTTTATTTAGTATCCAAAGATTGTTTATGTTGATGTATGGAAAAGAGCATGATTTTTAAAAATCAATCAGAGGAGGAAAAGAAATTCTGCTTTTCAAGTAGGAAGGAATGTACCTAGCAAGAAAGTAATTTATTTGAAACTTCTAATGGATTTTTGAGTGATAAAACATTTACTACCTTGTCCCTTAAGTCTGCTAGGCTCTCAGTACCCTAAAATAACCTAGATTGTGTTACTGCTATTTTTTTTATTTCTCTATAAAAATAACACATTATTTTATCTGGTATTTGAAATTTTACATTTCTGGTTACCAAAGTTCATTCTGATAGCATGTACTTTGTGAATTATTATCTTTGTCTATAACTGACAGATGTTTATATTAAAATAAAATATTGTATTAAAAATTTAAAATAGGTATTTTGGATAGATATGTGTCTGCAGTATATAATCTAATATGTCCATAGTATTATTGCTAATCTTTTTGTTTACTATAAGATGATATAACTATTTTTTCATTGGGAATATACATTTTTCTTAATGTTCCAACATCTATACTTTGTAAAGTCAAAACATTTCCCATGAGCTGTAGTTATTCTTCCTTCTGTACAAAATGAAAGGTTTGGAAATTGCCCTGATACCTTGAAAAAGAAGCCAGAATATTTATTTGCTTCATCAACTTTAGTGTATATCATTTTGTGTTATTTTATACTAAAACATGTTTATTATTTTCATTTTTGTAAAAGGAAGTAAAAGGTCAACATTTTCCCTCATGTACCAACCTTGTTTGTATTTCTATTTTCTGTAACATTTAAGTATGATGTTGAAGAAATTCACATTTTCTTATAGTTTGGATGGGAAGACTATTGACTATTTCAGAAACAGACTATTTCAGAGGCTTATTGTTTTCTCTGTATTTACCTAATATTTTATAACTTTTATGAATCAGAATAATGTCCTTCATACATTTGTTTAATTGAAGTCATCTACTTGTAACAGGACAGATACACAACTATTTGAGGTTTACAAATTACATCTTTGATAAGGGAAATGGTTTCGTGACATGTACACAATTGCTATTAAAATGTAACTCTATATATTCTATATGATTGTAAATATTTTATACAACAATACAAATAAAATATTTTTCTATTATATTTATTATGTTGAAACACAGTAGTTGTTTCCTGTTAGCTAATATAAATAACATAAATAACACTGTCAAACAAGAAGTTGGAAGTGCTGACAATTCTAGGCTTCAAGATTTAACTCATGCTGCAATTACACCCTTTCATGCGGTTTGGAGTTATCCCAATATTTGTTCAGTAGATTAAAATGAATGCATATTTAAACACCATTTATAAGCCATTATTGTGTACTTTGCTAAAGCGGTCTATATAACTGTTTTGTTATGTTTGGCATAAAGGAAACATAAAAACATTGCAGCATCTAGGCAATAAAGTGTCAGAAGGAGAACTTAGGGTATTTCATCATTGAAAGTAGTGGGAGGGGTAGGGAATAGGAAAACACTAAAATGGCTCTGAATGGAATTTGGAAAGTGGTAGTTCGTTTTTGGTGACAGTGGCATGTGCATGCTTCAGTGGAAAACATCTGGTGATGAAAATGGACAACAGGACCAATGCTCCTAATGGAGGAAAAGGGGCTGAGTAAGAATAAGAAAAGTGGGCATTAACGTCCAACACTGATATTACAGGTTTTGCAGCTGGGATCTTTCTTTGCATTTGCCGTAGACAAACTCATGAGCTGATGACCAGTGATTTCTGCCACGGTGCCCAGAGAAAGATCCACAGGGTCAGTGTAAATGACTTCTAAAATGACATCCTGGGCATGGTGGTAAACCAGCACCCCATCTTCTTCTGTACAGGTCAAAAATTTATTATCCTTAGAATTTAGTTGAGGAAGGCGCTGCTTACAAAATTCATCTCCTGGTGATCCCACAGGAGCAATAACAAGAATCACATAATGATAAGCAGTGTACATACAGTAGAAGTCCCCAAAGTATAAGTTAGTGTTGGGGTTAAAAAGTTTTTCTGCGGCAATCTCAAACCTGTATCTTCCATAAGGTGAATCCTGGGGTGGCTTTCCAGTATTGAATTCAGTGCTGCAGCTGAAGAAGATGCCTTCTAGTTTTCCACTGATAGGAGAGCCATGGCTACCACTGTTATCCTTGACAGAGGGCTGCATAGCATTCCCATGATGTTCTCTGCAAGAGGAAACAAGTGGTCACTGCTTAATACAATAGTGGTAAACCCACTGATTTATATATTTGAATAGCCTAAAAGTCAAACATCTACTGTTAAAGGCCTGAATACCCCTCTTACTATCAGAATAAGGGGACAGCATCTTTTGACATATTACCTATAGATGGCTGAATTCTAGCTTTGACCTTGAGGTAGGGATGATCTGCTACAAGCCTTGGAGACTTTGTATTAAATTAACATAATAATGTAAATTTCCTGACCAGAAAAATCAAACTGGAATTAGAAACCTTACTGGTAAAATCACACATACATTAGGTGCCAACTAGGTTTCAGAAGTGGCTTTGTGAAGAGAAAACTGAACTAAAGTTATTTGTTAGTTAAATATATTGAATGTTTCTTTAACGCATGATAGATTTAGTCATAAAATGAGTGCTGTCCATTTATACTGGCACAAAAGTGTTTTGTTTTGGCTTTTTTTTTTTTTTTTTTTTTGAGACAGAGTCTCGCTCTGTTGCCAGACTGGAGAGCAGTGGCGCAATCTCAGTTCACTGCAACCTCTGCCTCCCAGGTTCAAGCAATTCTCCTGCCTCAGCCTTCAGAGTAGCTGGGACTACAGGAATGCGCCACCATACCCAGCTAATTTTTGTACTTTTACTACAGAAAGGGTTTCACCATGTTGGCTGGGATGGTTTGATCTCTTGACCTTGTGATCCGCCCACCTTGGCTTCCCAAAGTGCTGGGATTACAGGCATGAGCCACCACACTCAGCTCGTTTTGGCTTTTTAACCCAAGGACAGTAATCAGGTTATTTCTCTGGCATTTTGCTTAAAACAGTGCTGGCTACTCCCCCTTTACCTCACCCCCAGATCCATTCATTCTCCACCACAGTCTTCCACTATGGCTTGGGACTCTATCACTCAGTTCCTTATCTCTTGGTCCCTTCCATTTCAGTTCTACCAATGTGAGGCACCAGCATATATAGAGTAGTATATAGAGTAGTAGGAGGTAAAGCTTTGGGTGTGTCTTCCTGTATTTCCTCCATGCTTCGGGGCCTTGTGGTTCTGGCAGGGCTGGGTTCTTCATAACTGTGTATCTCTGACTACTGCTACTGCTGGATGAATTCCTATTCCCTTTAATTCCCAAGAAGAGTAAAACTTTTCAATTCTTGCTCGTGCTAGTTCTTGGTTACTTTAGCATCCCCTGTTTGTTACCTTAACCCTGACTACACCTCTATGAGGGGTAGTTTTGTTAAATTCTCTCCAGAATTCCCCAAGTGTGCCTTTTTTTTTTTTCTGGGTCCCTGACCAGCATGACTTGGGAAGCAAAGTTCAAGCTACTACTCAAGTAAGGGAAAGTTCCCCCAGTCAACGTGCTTCTTAAAGAGTTTATGGGTCAGTGAAATGCCTGGATCAGCCTCTGAATTTAGCAGCAATGGGTCTCAAATTCTACCACCTGAAAACCACCTAGGGAGTTTATTAAAAATGCAAATTCAAGGAAAGACCAAAAAATTGTCACAGTTAAGAGAATACGGAAATACAACAAATAAATGTAGTGTGTTATCCTGGATGTGACCTATACTTTTACTTGTACTGTTCTTTTTTTCTTTCTGATGTTCCAAGATTCCTTCTTTTATTATTTCCTTCCTTCCTGTTTCAGAAACTTCTTTTAGGATAGATATGCTGTTGACAAATCCCCTTAGTTTTCCTTCATCTGAGCATATCTTAATTCCCTTTTATTATTGAAGGATATTTTCACTGGATATAGGATTCTCAGTTGACAGTGCTCTTTCAGCATTTGAAAATATTATGTCACTTTCTTTTGGTCTAGGTAGTTTCTGATGATGATGTCATTCAAATTGTTTTATTTTTCCTTATATAGTGGTGTCTTATATCTCACCACTTTCAATGTTCCCCCCCACCCCCGCTTTGGCCTGCAGTTTTCAGTTTGTAATGTATCTTGGCATGGATTTCTTTGGATTTATCCCATTTAGGGTTTTCTCAGCTTGAATCTGTATGTTTATGTTATTTGGCAAATTTGGGAACATTTTGGCTATTATTTCTATGAATACTTTTTCAGCCCCACCCTCTTTCTCCTTTCCTTCTTGACTTTAACATCATGAATATTAGCTCTGCTATAGTCTCACATGTCCATAAGACTGATATTTTTTTTTTCAGTGAGTTTTATCTCTGTTGTTCAATTTGGGTAATTTCTATTCTATCTTCAAGTTTACTATTTTTTTCTCTTTGTCCTCTTGAATCTGCTGTGGAATCCATGGAGTCTATTCAGCTTTTGACTTCACTTACTGTGTTTTTATGTTCCAAAATTTTCATTTAATTCTTTGTATCTTCTATTTCTTTGCTGCTTCTGTTTTTATCTGTTTTAAGTGTGTTAGTGTGTGCTTGTTGAACTATTTTTATGGTGGCTGCTTAAATATTTTTGTCAGATAATTCCAAGATCTGCATTATTTTGGTTTTGGTATCTTTGATCATCTTTTCTCATTCAGGTTAAGATTTTCCTGGTTCTTGGTGTGATACATGAGTTCCATTTGTATCCTGGGCATTTTAAGTTTTATGTGATTATATTTTGGATCAGATTTAAATCTAGTATTTTAGCAGGACTCCTCTTAACTATCTACCAGTGGGTGAAGAGTATGGGGTAGTCACTTCATTGATGTCAGATGGGGATAGAAGTCCAGGTTTCCTACTCAGTCTCCAGTGACACAGGGTAGGGAGGGGGGTCAGTTACTACTTGGAGGAGGTAGGAGTTTAGGCTTCCACTAGGCCTATGTTAACATAGTCTAGGTCAGAGAGAGAAGGGGTGTCTCATTACTACTTGACATGTGGCTTCACATACTATGAGGACAAGCCTCGTTTTCTTTGGGCAGTGGTGGAAAGTCTGGGTTCCCTATTCAGGCTTCTCTGATACCACCCTAGCAGAGGATGGAGGGAGAAGGATGTCCTCTTATAGATGTAAAAGGATAGCGGTCTAGGTTCCCCACTTAGCGTTGGCTGGTACATGAGGGACTACAGTTTTTTTGTTTTTTTTTCTATACTGTTTGCCTGGGGTATGGTGGTTATTGTCTAAAAGGTTTCTGTATTCCAAGACATCTCAGTCTCTTTCCTGATCCTGTGGGTAAAGAGAACAGACTTTCTGGTGTTCTTTGTTTCTTTTTTGTCTGTGCTCATTGGCACAGACAAAAGAGACATCTTTGTATCCCATTAACACTGAAGTGCTCAATAATCTGTTTCTTGAATGAATGAGTAAACAATAGATAAATGTGGGAGAAATAGGGAAAAGAGTATTTACTCCATCCTTTCCCTGTTCAAAATGTCTCTTCTTGGTTACATTCTCATTAACAAAATCCAAATATCTATATATGTGTCCTACATGGATCTCTAAGTGCAATTACATGAAATAATAACAGCAACATATATATAAACAGAAAATGTGTACTAGGACCTGCACTTTGAGGATATACAATTTGACACCAGAGGTAGAGGAATTCCCACACATGTCTACCAATCTCAGTGAATTCCTGAAACCCTTCAGATATAAAAGGAGTATTTTAAGGACAATTAGGCTACCTAGTGAATATGAACAAGGGGTAAGAGAGAAAGTGGTGTTTTCATTTGGAGTATGGGAAAGCAATGTTCATTTAGGAATTCATTTCTAGAGGAAGAGGTCAAAATGAGTTCATTCCTTATGGACTGAATAAGAATTTATCCAGTTTTTCATAATTTAAAATGGATTATAAACTTTGGAAAGTTTATCCAGTAATTTAAATTTTCCTTTCTGTTCAAGCATTCTGAATAACAAGATGATATTTAAAATGGATTTTAATCAAGGAAATGTGTCTTAATTAGAGTTAATGACAAAAAAAATCAACATCCATGAAATCAATGTCTACTACTTTTTAATAAGGCTTCTTAAAAAAGCAATGTCGAAAAATTATACCACACTGTGGAAAGTATATTTATTTATATGTACTGCACCAAGACATATTTTACATGGATTTTATAACTATCATTATGGAAAACTTAACAAAGGTAAATTTTCTTGTTAGTAAACACAGCTTTCATACTGGTAGCTGGGAGTAAAATCATGCAATATACACAATAATTATCCATTTT